CTATCTCCATATCATCAACATCGGCACGGCTGTAAGTTGTATTGACGAAGAGGAGGAGAGGAATGGTTGAACCAACGGTGCCAAGAAAACACCAGTTCATCCACGTAGTTCCTATACAAGAAAGATATAGTATATTCTTATCTGAACAATAATAAAGATGATACCTTATACTGACAGCAAATACAAAGACAAGCTATGATGATGATGAATAAATATGAATATCATATATAATTCTTTTTTATGTACATTCATAAGACAGATCGTACTTTATACTGATGGCAAAACAAAGATAAGCTATGATGATTAATACCTTTGAATATCATATATATTTCTTTTTTATGTACATTCATAAGACAGATGGTACCTTATATTGTAAATGGCAGATAAAGATAATATAATACTGATAATGATGAATACTTATGAATATCACATATATTTCCTTTTTATGTACATTCATAAGACAGATGGACCTTATATTGTAAATGGCATGTAAAGATAAGCTAATACTGATAAATACCTGAAGAAAAAAAAATTAGTAAAAATTGTCTATCTTTTTTATTCTATCTGTAAGATGATAGGACAGAAAATACCTTAAATTTACAGTAAATATAAAGATAAAAGGGTGATGAGGATGTTGATAAATACTTGAGAATAAACTAATGACATTATGTCCCTTCTTCTTCTTCTTCTCTTCCACCTTGTACCACATCGAAGTGTCGGGGGGAGATGTAATGTTCGTTGAAGAGCTCTGTCAAGAGCACTATTATGACTGATGTTCATTTTTGTAAGGCTGTTCTTAATGCCATCACTCCACATTTTCCGAGGACTTCCACTCCCTCTATACCCGTTGTAACGTTTTAGTGTCGCAGATAGTAACAGGGCATTCTTGTTAGGTGTCCAAACCACTTCATTTGTTGTTCTTTGATGACCTTTAAGACTGGCTTTATTCCTAGCATTCGTCTGATTTCATGATTTCGTATTCTGTCTTTCCTTGAAACTCCTGCAGCTCTTCTAAGGCATTTCATCTCTGTTGTCACAATTTTACGTTCATTGGAGGATGTAAGTGTCCACGTTTGGCATTAATAGCATAGTGTTGGCCAAAAAATAGTTCTGATAAGATTCACTTTAGTACCCCGAGGTATCTGCTTATGTGTCAATAGGGGAGATAGTTCATTACGTACCTACATAGTTTATTCCTTCTATCTGCATGCTCATAAGAAAGACCTATCTTATATTGTACAAGGAACACCTTTACTACTGTTGACATTATTTTGTACCCCTTTTAGGTTAGGTCAATGATGATGAATACTAAAGTTGAGTAGAGTCAAGAATCGACATCACAGCACTCGAGGAATTCCCATACGCGCTTTGTCCCCATCCTCCGCAGCCAGCGCACAGTTCCAATACTAATGGTGCCGGTTGTAGTCTGGTTGTATATACTTAAGACTACTTAAAAGAAAAGGCATATGAAAATCTGGTGCCTGTATTTTCTATTTAATCTTTGGCCAAGCACCAGCAAGGAAATTATTTGTATAACAAATACTGACATCCTATAAGATCTGAACATCAAGGAAAACTGGCTCGTAAACAACTTGTCTCGGACACTGAAATTCTCTGGCCACATCCAATGCCACAGTGGATTGGAAAGAACAGCTGCCAAGGACACGGTACTGGTTGGGAGGGGTAGGGACTGACCAGCATGAACAAAGCCGAAGGATATAAAAGAGACCCTGGGCAGGAGTGTGCATCAAGACAAATTTAGTCGTAACTACATGTAGCAGAGAAAGAAACAAACCCTTCCCCCTTTTAAAAAAAAAATCGCAAAGTCTAATGACCATAAATATAACTGAAGCTTACATAGTAACAGGTTGAACATGGTTACAGTTTTAAAAAAAAAATGTTTCCGAAACATCAAATCGATATATGCATGACCTGGGAGAGCTGGCAAAGAACCGACTTTCTTTCAGGTAGACTGTCAAGAGACTGTCTCTAAAAAAGGACCTGCTACATGATGATGATGATAATGATGACAATGCAGACTTGAGAAAAAAGAAGCAAAAGTCACATACCTATACTTTCTATCTGCACAATGACAAGGAAGACTGTTCCAGCGGCAGCACACATCATGTGGGTGAACCCCGAGGTGACCCCCTCTCCTACAGGGTAGGACACTTCTATGGTCAGTTCAAAGAACAGGGGTGATCCGCCATCAAGAAACACACCAGCCAGGATTATGGCTGCATAGATGCTCACTGAGGAGTACATTAAAATACATATATAATTTGTTTTAATAGGCTTTTAAACTACAATGATAGTAAAGTAAAGCAAAGGACCCCTTTCCACGCCTTGAGGCGTATAGGGCATATAGGGCTAGACCTACATTTTATAGACCAATCGGCACAAATGAGTGATGTGGTCAGTATCACGCCAGCCGCCTTCACTTTCCTGGGACTGCACCCGGTACCCACTCAAGGCTGGGTCGACCTGGGAGCCAAGATCATTTTTGAAAAAAGTCCGGCTCCACCAGGGAGCGAACCCACTACCTTCAGATCCGCGACGAGCGTCTAGTCGCTCGGCCACGGCGACTCCCAAACAACAATGATAGTAGCAGTAATTACATTAACATTTTATTGTTACTTGTAATTGAATGTGTTAGTTGTGATTTGTAATAGAACATTTTATTTCTGACTTTTATTAGAACATTTTACTTGTGACTTTTAATAGAACATTTTACTTGTGATTTCTAATAGAACATTTTACTTATGATTTCTAATAGAACATTTTACTTGTGATTTCTAATAGAACATTTTACTTATGATTTCTAATAGAACATTTTACTTGTGATTTCTAATAGAACATTTTACTTATGATTTCTAATAGAACATTTTACTTATGATTTCTAATAGAACATTTTACTTGTGATTTCTAATAGAACATTTTAATGGTCATTTTTAATTGAACATTTTTGTGGAGGTTTGTAATATAACAATTTAGTGATGATTTGTAATTTACATTTCTTTGTTAGAACATTTTAGTAGTGATTTTTAATTGAGCATTTCACTAGATTTGTGGGGGTAATTAGGCATTTTATTGGTGATTTGTTAAAGAACATTTTATTAGTGATTCACAATAGAACATTTTAATTGTGATTAGAACACTATAACTGTTCTGCCAAACCAATAAATAAATCAACAATGTTCTATATCAGCAATGAAGGTTGGCTGCAGTGGATCTCCAAGATGCTTTGTCTTTCTCCTGGAAGATATGCCTTTAACTAACTGACACTCAGTGGGTGATGTGGTCAACATCCTGTCAGTTCTCGTTATGACTAGTGGCACATGAGGCTTCAGAGAGGACTTTCCATGCTTTCCTGTCCTGTGCAATCTTCAGTGCAGTTTTCCATGTCAGAGATGCCGCACTCAGGTCACTTTCCATCGTTCGTCTCCATGTTGTTTTTGAGCGCCCCTGTTTTCTCTTTCCCTCTGGTGTCCGTGTGAGAGCTGTTTTGGCGGGTATATCAGAAGTCATTCTCATAACGTGGCCAAGCCATTTCCATCTTCTCTTGGTAATCATTCTGTCTAAAGTTTCTTGGTTTCTGGCTTGAAGTAGTTTAGTGTTTGAGATTATATCTGGCCACAAAATTTTGATAATTCTACGTAGACATGTGTGGTGGAAGGTGGACAGCTTGTGTGCATCCTTTCTGGTCATTCTCCAGCATTCCGCTCCATAAAGAAGAACTGGCAAAATGATGCTCTTGTAGAGTCGGAAAGGTCAACATCCTGGCAGCCATCTTTACTTCCTAAGCTTTTACTTTGGACCCATTTTAGACTGGTTGACCTGGATCCATGGTCAACTTTAAAAAAAAAAAAAATACCCTGATGGGATCTCCAACCCAAACCTTTTTGGCCAGGAAATTAGTGTTAAAAAAGAAATTAAATTAAACATAAACAACACACTGGTGACTAGACTGACCTTGATCAAAGGGTATAATGTCAAGCACTACCAGGGTCAACCACAGAATTGATATTGTGGCAAATGTGTAGAAAACCAGCAGAAACAACTTCATTTGTCGGGCGAATAAGTCTGCAAACCTGTGGATGACAAGTTTAATGTACACACTTTCAGAATGAGTATTTCAATGCAGCCAGTATCTTGTTTAACCGCTTTCATCATTAACTCTTTCAGTACCAAGGAACTAGCCACATGCTTTATTCAATCTATGTCCATTATTCACTTATTATATCAACTAATTCTTTTCCACGTGTTAACGTGAGTCGTGCAGTTTAATATAGTTAATGTTCTCTGTGGGGGTTCCGTGGCCCCATTTTAGACCCACTGCTTCCCCAACAAGCATGTTATAAGAGTCAAATAACTGGGGGTTTCCTTCAAAGTCAGAGTGCATCTGCCTGAGAGGCAAGAAACCAAGAGTCTGCATACTCAACATTCAGGTTCTGGAACATGTCTAAAGTCTGAAGGTGGATGAACAACCAGAACTTTCTGCCGGAGTTTACAGCCTGTGAACTTGAAGAAAAAAGAAGAATATAGTAAATCCTACAAGTCCCATTTTTCAGTTTAGATTTTGACAAGATAACTTCGGCTTCTGCTTTTCTATAAAAGTTAAACTTAAAGTCAAGAGGATTAACTTTACTGCATCAGGTTATTATCCCATCAAGCTCAGTCTCTCTCTGCAGAATGGCTAGATGCATGTCAAGAACATCACACAAAACATACACTTTACACTTAACACTCCATGGATGTTCATAAAAACTGCACTTGTGAACTGAACGACAAATCTGTGATACAAACCTATGACCTTTAAAATAAAGCAAATGACTTAATCACTTCACCATGGAGACTCCTTGTCTTGAATCCACAGTATTTATTTAATTTTCAGTAGAATGCATTTTTTTGTACATGGTACAGAATAATTTAGGAATATATTTGGCTTTTGTTAGGTTAAGAAAAAAAAATAGGAGAAAACAATGTGACTGCTAGTTTACCTGGACACAAGAAGACCTGACAAACAACCTCCAACCGTAGCATAGAAGTCCAACCAACCTGCTGTTTGCTGTCACAGAGAGGAATAAAGAACTGGCTATAGTATAGTAATGTTATGACATTTGTTATCATAAGAAATAACAATCAATAAATGTTCTGATAGATGTTATATAAAATAAGCATCAGTAAATATTATGATGGATTCAGAAAAGTAGAATTGATGAATGTTCATATGGATGTTAACGTGCAAAAATGTAGTCAATAAATGTTCTGATTTAAAAAAAAATAAAACCAATAAATATGCCGAAAAGTACAATAAATAAATTGTATGATGTATATTTTTTAAAAAGTAGAATCTATAAATGTTCTAATGGACATTAATATGCACAAATTTAGTCAATAAATGTTCTGACTGATTTTATAAACAAGAAAAAAAAAAGTTCTGAAAAGTACAATAAATAAATTGTCTGACATATGTATTTTGAAAAGTGCAATCAATAAATGTTGTGATGGATGTTATCAGAGATTTGTACAATAAATAATTGTTTTAATGGATGTTATCGTACAGTCAATAAATGTTCTGCTGGATGATATCATACAAAAGTGCAATTCTTCTGATGGATGTTATCACAGAAAAGAACAATAATAAATGTTCCAATAGAAAAGTACAATCATTGTATATTCTGATGGTTGCTATTATAGAAAAGAACAATCAATCATGCTTGCGGCGTCCGTGGCTAAGGCGTTGCGAGTCCGTCTCGTGAGCCAGCATACCGCGATCGAAACCCACTGCAGGCTGCGTGGATTTTTGTCATGGTATGGGACGTCGCAGGTCGACCCAGCCTAAAATGGGTACCAGGATGGGCTGTCCTGGGAAAGTAAAGACAGACGGCGTAATGCTGACCACATTACCCACAGAGTGCTGATGGTCTGTAAAAAATGGGACGCTCTGCCCATATGCCCGATGCGCCGAAAGGCGTGAAAAGGGATCTTTACTTACTTACAATCATGCTTGTTATAATAGAATGCAGGGACCAATAAATGTTCTGACTGTTGCTAAAATATTATAGACCAATTAATAAATGTTCTCATTGTTGCTTTAATAGAAAGTTTGAAAAAAATTAGTTGCGTATCCTTTACAGGACATTGAAGAACCAACACCTGCCTTTTTTGGCTGCTGTGGTTTTTCTAGGCAAATTTATGTCCAGTAGTTTGACATTACTTTCTGTACGGTCAGCTGCTCGATACCTCTGTCCAAACCAAAGCAAGGCACAGGGCATACAGCTGGGATTGAACCCAGCAACCCAGCATTACAAAACAGGTTCGTAAGGCCTAAGCCACAGACGCTGACTTAGTAGAAAGAGCAATCAATAAATAGAGTGAAAAATTGGATCAGTAGCAATTTAAAGATAATAGTTAGAATTAAATCCAGGTTTCAATTTTGTTTTAGATTTAGGAGTAAAGTTAGAGTTAGGAGTACAGTGAGGTTTGTAATGCAGGGTTGGAATTATATTGAGAATAAGGATTATAGAAGTTAGAGTTACAGAGTTAATGTTGGGTGGACTTACTTGTGATATGCCTTTTGAATCGAGGTTAATGTCAAGAATAACTTGCCAGGATTCATAAACACCCATGGGAACACTGAAGGCTACTGCACAGATCCAGAACTGCTTGTTTCTGAGGAATAAAGGAAGCAGCTCTTCAAACAATTGATTCTGAGGGAGATGCTGAAGATGGGACCTGAGCACTTATAGTCTTGTTCGATGTGGATAATCAGTGTATTAACTAACTAACTAACTAACTAACTAACTAACTAACTAACTAACTAACTAACTAACTAACTAACTAACTAACTAACTAGCCAGCCAAGTAACTAACTAACTAACTAACTAGCCAGCCAAGTAACTAACTAACTAACTAACTAACTAACTAACTAACTAACTAGCCAGCCAAGTAACTAACTAACTAACTAACTAACTAACTAGCCAGCCAAGTAACTAACTAACTAACTAACTAACTAGCCAGCCAAGTAACTAACTAACTAACTAACTAACTAACTAACTAACTAACTAACTAACTAACTAACTAACTAACTAACTAACTAACTAACTAACTAACTAGCCAGCCAAGTAACTAACTAACTAACTAACTAACTAACTAACTAACTAACTAACTAACTAACTAACTAACTAACTAACTAACTAACTAGCCAGCCAAGTAACTAACTAATTAACAAACTTACTAACTAGCTCACTAATAATGTTTTTAAGAAGCCACATTTTTAAAGTAAAGATTCTAAAAGAATCTTAACTAAGATTCTAAAAGAATCTTTACTATAAAGTATAAGAATATTATCATTATCTTGTGCCATGCCAATAAGCATAAGGCTGCCATGATTCCCCACATCAGGCGATCACCAGAATCACAGATTAGGTAGTGTTCTTGTTTTGCTCTCTTTCCATCAATCTTGCCAGTCATTAATATGTTCTCTAGTCAATTCTTTCTCATAACATACATTTTCTCATAACACGTTCAAAAATGTTTGTCTCATTTCTCACATTAATTTATGGGTTTCATCCATTTTTTGAGGACTGAATGAATGAGTGATGCAAGAATTTACTCCTGCACTCGGAATATTCCCATATGTGCTCTGTCCCTTTCTGCAGTAGCCCAATAAAGAGTCAGCATGTCAGTAGTACCAGTTGCAATCTGATTAAAAGCCCGCCTATGTTTCCCCCTCAGTGTTGAATATTTCTGGAACCTGTACTCCAGACAACCTTTTCCCCCTTTTTGTTTCCCTTTCCCGTTGAACTGATCTTTCAGTGTATGGATTTTCTGGATTACTTCTTTGAGCAATGCCTTATGCATTTCCTGGCTGTTCAAGGTTTTCTAAGCTTGTCTGCTTATAGTTTATGATTCACTTACATACAACAGCTGTTATCATCACTTTCAAGTGAATTGCCAACTAGCAGGAGTGATCATGCCTCCCCACAACCTGTGCTCTCCAACGGCATGTGTCAGTTTGTGTGCTGACATTCCTCCATGCCATGAGAAAAAAACTGTCAAGAATCTTTTGACTGTCTTTGTCTGTCTCTATTTCTCCAAACTCTTTTCAGTGGTCACTTTTTCTGGTTTCCATCTTCTCATAACATGGCTAAAAATTGATGACTCTTTCCTTATGATGTTTGTGTTAAACTGTCTTTAAGTGCTGCTCTTCTTCTTCTACTTCTTCTTCCTCTGCTGCTGCTGCTTGCACACCGGTTTTACAGATCTGGCTTATTTGTCAGCAGACTGTTGGTTCCTCGCCTCTCAGGCAGATGTACTATGACTTCAAAATAAACACCCCTGATTAGTAGACTTTTATGACATGCTTGGTGAAGGAGGGCGGGGGGGGGGGGGGGGGGGGAGGGTAAATGGGTCTATCCGGCCCCCCCCACCCAATAAAAATGAGGCCCCAGAACCCATATGGGGACTGCTGGTTCTATATATCACTTCAGCACTGGTGACTGGCTATGCTAAGCTTTAAGACACAGCATATCAATGTTACCTGACTAGCAGTTTCAAGCCATTGAGGTACTTCTCCCTAGGGATCGATGCCGATATACTTGGAGGAAGAGGAGGCTTCGATGGAAAGTATAAAAGTACTAACAAGAACACGATTCCAGCCAGTGCACACTCTATAAAGAAATAAAGAATACAGTAGTTAAACACTTTTTTATACCAGCCAACACACAATATATTCATTGGTTATCTTGTGTTGCAAACTGTTTTTTCCCCCCTCTCTGTTCTGGTAGTTCGTTGCTGTTGTTTATTTTGGTAACATTTTCCCCACTCTCTGTTCTGGTAGTTTGTTGCTGTTGTTTATTTTGGTAACATTTTCTGCCTCTAGGATTGTAGTCTGTAGGATACCCATCTTGTGGATGAGAATCAGGTAATCGCAGTTTCAATTTCATAGCAAACACATCACCCCATAGTTCCTCCATTGGTTGCTCCTGATGTTGTCTCTCCATGTCTTGCGTGGTCTTCCTCTTGCTCTGTGTTCATTTTAACTCTTCAGTGTTGCTCCATGTGGCAGTTGGTATCAGGTACCATTTGGTTCTACAGAGTAGAACACTATCGTCTGGAAATAAGGAAAGGTACCAACAAACTACTGTTGCCATTGCTGGATTTAGGCATAGGCTAAATAAACTACATCTTAGGGCCTCACATTCAGCAGGGACCTAAAATAAAAATTCCCATTTTGCACTGCAGCACAGCTTGTGACAACATAATTGTTGATTTTGCATTTTTGAAATCAAGAACAAACTGTTTTAATTTATAACTTACAGGCTTTAAGAGGATTATGCAATATAAATTTTGTGATTTTGCAAACAGCTTCTATATTATTTCTTTTAATTAAAAATTAAAGCGCAATGGGGAGTTGCCGTGGCTGAGCAGCTAGACGCTCGCCATGGATTGGAAGGTCGTGGGTTCGCTTTCTGGCGGAGTCAGATTTAAAAAAAAAATGACCTTGGCTTCCAGGTCGACCCAGCCTTGAGTGGGTACCGGGTGCAGCCCAGGAAGTAAAGGTGTTGACCACATCACCCATCCTGTGCCGATTGGTATATAAAAATATAGATCTAGCCCTATATGCCCTATACACCTAAAGGTGTGGAAAAGGGTCCTTTACTTTGCTAATTAAAGGGCAATGTACTTTCACTAATAACTAATATATCTAAAAGGTGTTTACATTTCACATTTTTCAGAGATTAGCTGATGTAATTTGAAATGGTTAGGTCCTCAGGACTTTAGATAACTTAAGGCCTCATGAAGTCTAAATCTGGCCCTGAATGTGGCATAGTGGCTTGTGCACTAGCTTAACAAACCTGTACCTTGGTTCTGTTTACAGTAAAATCAGGATTCTTTTTTATTTTTATATCTCTTTAGCTCTGGGGTCATTCTAACCTCATAGAAAACTGCCCTAAATCAGTTTTAGATTTTTAGGGGAATTTTTTTATGGTAAATGTTTTACTCTTATCAGGCTACATATCTGTACTTCAAGTAGATTTAAACTTGTTTCTTTGGGAATTTTTTATTTTTTTAACACTTTATTTTTAGTGTTTTCAAACATGAAATGTAACATATTGTTATTGTGTATTTTTGTCTTCTAAGAACACATAGTAACTATGTTACATTTTCTCTTCTTTACAACTGAATAGTAGCTTATCTTATCTTTAATATTCTGAATCCAGTGGGGAAAAAAAAGGCTCTTAAAGAATGCAAAAATACTTTAGTGAATCTATCAGATAACACTTGAGTTTTAAAACATGAAAGCGTGTAGACAAAATGTGTCATCATGTAGCATGTCCTTTGAACATGTCACCCTCATCACAGCCTGCTTGAAAGAAACTCAGAGTCTCTCACCAGCTCTCCCACCTCCAGCACTTCCCTACTCATTGTGTCTCTTATATCCTGTACCCATCTTCATACTGGTCAACCCCTGCCTCTCTTTTCCAGTACTTTGACTTCTGCCATTATTTCTTCCAATCCACCATGGCATTTGATATGGCCAAACTATTTCAGTTTCTGAGACAGCAAGATGCGGTCTACAAGTCACTCTTCCTTCATGTTTAGATCAATCAGGATGTCAAATGTCTTCTTAGTCCATGGTATTTTGAGTTTTTGTGAAACATTTCAGCTCAAAAGCCCTAATTGTCTTCCATTATAGTTAGCTAGTTAGTTAGTCGACAGATTATCCTCATTGCACGTTGAACCACTCAGTCCATAAGTGCTCTGATCACCTCCTGAGTAAATCATGCAGCGTGTAGTGGCTAACAACACCAGCTCTGTGTTGGTTTATTCTTCTTCTTTGACTATCCGCGTAGTGTTCTTGTTTGGCGACACCCCGTTTAACATTCTTCCATTATACTTGAGGGATAGTCAACAAATCTCATCTGTATGTTGTTACAGGAAAGATGCCTACTCTTAAAATTTTCATTTTATTTTCCAAGATAATTTGCAGAGGCTAAAAAGGTGGAAGAGGGAATTTATACAATATGTCAGTTCTTCTTCTTCTTCTTCTTCTGCTTCGTGTTTACCAGCTGAAAGACTTTTCCTGCTGTCTAATTGTAGGTAAATGTATGATACATTTTTATTTTTACATGATTATCAGTCAAGTAGTTTATTCAAGACAATTATAACTACCAGGAGCTGACATACATTGTAGGCCAAACAAATATTTTTTGCTAAATCATTAACTGACCTTTGAACCAGAGTTGGCTGGTTGCCAGATTGTGAACAAGTTGTTGGATCATGTGCTGTAGGTCAGTGTATGTGTGTGTGTTTGTGTGTGTGTGTGTGTGTGTGTGTGGGGGGGGGGGGGGGGGGTTAATTAAGTGTAAGGGTCACTTGTGTGAAGATCAGCCATATGTTGGTGTATGGTGGTTGCACATAATACAGTTTAGATAAGAATGTTTGAAAGTTAATATAGGTGGACGAACTGTGTGACAGCAGATTATTTTCAATATCATGATGCAGAATATGCTAACAAAATTGTTCCATACATGGTATGATCTTGTTTTCTTCCTTGTTTCCTTTTTTTTAGTCTAGCGGTTTCTTTCTTTATTTCATCACTGAAAATGCCAAAAATTGATTTAACTTTTTCAGTACCAGGCTCAGGATTTAAATATTATCAAAACATAGCTCCAGAAACTACATGAAATTAGGAAAACAATCAAACAAAACTGTTTGAGACAGGCGGCAAACATTTTTAGAGGGGCCTAAACGTGAATTCCACAGCACCAATGAGAATTCAAATGTGCACAAGCCTGGATCATGCATTCTCAGTATAATATGAATTCTCATTATAAACATGTAAAAGATCACGGTTAAGGAAAAATTACAAATAATTTTCCAATTATAACACACATAAAACTCACAGAGAGAGAGAGAGAGGGGACAGACAGACAGACAGATAGGGACAGAGTGAGAGAGATGGGGGGGGAGGAGGAAACATTCACCAAAGATGTCATTGCTTCACAACTGTGACTTACCAGCATACAATATAGTTTTGATTCCTTGCTCCTGGCCAGAATGATCTAAGGAGAATAAAGAAGTTTAGGACACACTGAGCACAATGGTGAAATTATATTGATTTACTGATTTTAAGAATCATGGCACATCAGGCATACCCATAAGTGCTCCCGTCTCGTGCAGCAAATGTCTTAATAAAGGTGTCGATGTTCTTGTTCCCATAGCTCACTGGTAAAATTATATATGCAATGTATTTGGTTTCTTCAAATAAACATTCAGTAAAACTTTGATAACATGAACTCGCTTAAGATGAACATTTGATAACCATGAACAAATTTTTTATCCTTCATAATACATCAATAACTAGTGTTCGGTTAGCAAACGTTTTTTTTTAAACACAAACTCTTGATGTTTCGGTCCTTTGTAATTCATGTTACGAGACTGTATACAAATAAAACTGTTTTAGCAATGTATACAACACAGCTGATTTAAAATAGCACAAAAAAGATAATTTGCAGAGGCTAAAACGGTGGAAGAGGGAATTTATACAATATGTCAGTTCTTCTTCTTCTTCGTGTTTACCAGCTGTAAACTCTGGCGGAAAGTTCTGGTTGCTCATCCACCTTTGGACTGCAGTCCTGTTCCAGAACCTGAGTGTTATGTGTGCATCCGTTTTATAGATCTAACATATTTGTATGCAGACTGCTGGTTACTTGTCTCTCCAACTTCGAAGAAAGCTCCCAATTAGTCGACTCTCTCACAACATGCTTTTGGGTGGGCAGTGGGTCTATTCTTTTTTACCCCTATAATAGGGCCCCGGAACCCACATAGGAAACAGTATTTCAGTGAAGGAAAACTCTGGCAGTTTTATGTAAGAAACATACAATAAATTTAGTGAAGGATACTACATACTTTTTCTTGTGACAATATTCCTTAACTGATCCATTCCTACTGTTTGCTAGTGAATTTTACATAACTTCCCAATATTTTCTACCCATTCAGAGCATAGGCTTCCTATTGCAATTTTCTGAAGCCTGTTTACAGAGTCTTAAACGATTACTGCATGTGTGACTGCCTGTTCTGCTGACCATGGTAAAGTACTCAGCTTCAATGCAGCAACATAATTTAGAATACACAAGGCAGGCTGAGAAGGGGAATCAAGCTGCATGGGCAACATACTGTCTCTACAATATTGCTGAGGATTTAGGCTATGGAGAAGATTAACTTTATTCCTGGCCCAAAATGCCCATCACCATCAGCTGTGACTGTCATGCCTTCCAACTAACAACTGGCTCCAGCTGACAGGCCTTGCTGCTGATGTCACCGGGTCAGGCTAACTATGCGTTAATGCATTGGTTCTCAAACTGAGTGCCGAGGCACCTTGGGGTGTCCGTAAGCGTTTGCCAGTGTTTGCCGCGGCAATAATAAAAATAAGTTGGCTAAAAATTGCGCAATTATTAAAGAAGGCATTAGATACTTAAAAGATAAAACTTAAGTTGTCTTCCCTCACCACTGTGGAAAAATAGTTAACTTCTTGTTTGAGAACCGTGGCCTAACAATATCATCAAGAAACTGAACAAGGACTGTTCATGTCAGACACTGTTAAAGAGGCTGTTGAAAGTATTTCCTGATACACAACAAAAATATCTGAGGACATTTCCATAATTTAATTAAAGAAAGCAAAACACTCTTACCTGTGATATTTATACCGCTACCATTGGAATCTATTGCATCTCTGAAATACAAAAAATTAAAATGTAACATTTAATAATTTTTAAAATAAATTAAAGACATTTATTATTTTCCACTTGAATTATTCCTAAGTGTGTAACAAAAGTTGATGGTGTTTTTTAGGACAAGTACAGAAATTTAAGTATCTGGACATATGGATAACATCAGATGGAAGATGCATAACTGAGATAAGAAACAGAATAGGACAGGCAAAAACTGCATTTTATAAAATGAAAAACATCTTGTGCAATATATCCTTGTCATTGAGAGTTAGAAAAAGAATTCTTGCTTGCTACATACATCCAGTTTTAACATATGGCTGTGAATCCTGGACAATCGGTAGGCAGGCCAAACAATTTCTAGAGGCCTCAGAGATGGGGTTTTACAGAAGAATGCTTAGAATACCTTGGACAGCCAAAAAAAGCAACCAAGAGGTTTTGAAAGAGGTGGGAGCCCGAAGACAACTTATCACAGACATCAGAAGGAGACAGTCATCATTTTTCGGCCATGATATGAGAAGAGGGAAAATAGAACATGTTGTGACCACTGGAAAGATCTGTGGAAGGAGAGATAGAGGAAGACAACGAGAGAAGATGCTTGACAGTCTTGTTGCATGGCATGGAGGTGTGTCGGCACACAAACTAATACATGCTGCAGGAGATCGCAGATTATGGAGAGGCATGATCGCCCACACCAGTTGGCAAGGCACCTAATGATGATGATATTCCACTTAAGAGCATGTTCTAAAATCAGAGAAAGGACATAAACTTGAGGGAAACATTTATTTGTAAATTTTTAATTGTTTTTTATTTGTAAAGAACCATCTAACATAAATAGACAGTTGCATGTTTTTATAGAAACTGTTAGTTGTAACCCCCAAGAAATACAAGTAGGCCATCCACAACAGCCACTCTAGGTATTATCCCAGCATACCCTGCTTTTATGACTGACTGTTTGTGCTAAGAATGAGCTGCAATTCTGGCATGGAGCCATTAGTGTCAGCACATCTGACCACTGCCTTATGCCTTTTTACTTTGCGTGTGCAAGCTTCAAGGTTTTGCTGGTTTTCACTAGTTTTCAGGTAGTACAGTGAACATTTTATGTGATTTCCACTGGTACAGAAACAGAGCAGTAACTACAAGTCGGCAGTGACATTAGAACCATGACTTCTTCTTCTTCTACTACTCTTCCAACTTGTACCTCAGCAAAGTGTCGGGGGGAGATGTAACATTCCTTGATGAGCTCTGTCAAGAGCACTATTAAGACTGATATTTATTTCTGTAAGGCTATTTTCTGAGGTCTTCCGATCTCTCTATACCTGTTGTAACATTTCAGTGTGGCTCGCTGTGGTAGCTGGTACCAGGGCATTCTTGATAGATGTCCAAACCTCTTCTAAGACTCTGCTTCTATAACAGGTAAGAATGATTACACTTCACAGAAAAAAAAAAGATATATAATAAAGTTAATGAAAAATAAGTGAAGAGAAGTGCCGAGAAATTATTTTAAATATAATTTTACCTCAAAAAACTAAATGTTGCATTGATGGGTGATAGATCATCTGGTTCTGGTACAAGCAAAGGACCTGAAATTAAAACAGTAATTAGTTAAACAGGTATCATATACAGGCTTCATAATTCGGGTTCCAGATAAAATAACAGTATCATTTCAGTCAAAACGGACAATAAGCACAGTCACCGTTCTTAGGCCTGCAAATTGTTTGCTTTTGACCGATGGTGGCTGTGGCAGTTTCCTCCATTTTTAGACTGAAAGAATATAGATTTGTCCCCCAGCCATTGAGCTGAGTGCATAATGCAACACACTGAGCTGTAGATTTCATTTGAAATGTTGTTTTACTGAGACCAAAGTGGTGTTGTGAACTGTAGATTCAGGAATAAACTACAAAAGAGAGGTCCCAGGTTTAAATTCCAGATAAACTCCCAATATATGTGATGTTGCTCTCTAGACTGGCCAAATTATACCACATTGGAACAGGACCTACTATCTCCAACTGGCTATGTTGAAGCTGATGAAAACAAACAGGACTTCATGATGGATAGTCGTAAACCTGATGAACACATTCCTTGTTCTCATTTAGTTTACTAGCTGTTGCACGATGTATACTGCTTGCCAGTCAGCAGTCTTTAACCCTTTGGAGACAGGGCTTATTTTTAGGAGTTTCAGTGCCAAAAATGCATAGCTTTCTTGGCATAATTATCTTAGTTTACTCACAAAAAACTATAAAAATAAAAAAAAGTAAATAAAATATACAAAAAATATATATCTGGGGAGGAAAATGAATAAACTAACAGAAAATGTATGAATCAAACTGAAATCTCAACGTTAATTTCAATCAACTTTTATGATTTTTTTATGGATGAAGCCTGAATGAGTCCTAAGGCTTGTGTTTTGGGGAAATAAGGCCCATATAGGCTGTTCAGACACTTCTGACACATGGTTCTACTCATTTTCATGCCTTCTGCTATGTTTCAGTTGCTAAGACGCAATAGACCTTTTCGCCGTCATTGGACACAGGTAGGCCCACACACACAAATTACTATTAAATTACAGAACACAACAAACTTTCTCAAAAGCTATCATTAAACAGCCCACATGTGCAGGAAATGTGAGAAGCAATCTGATTGGCTGGTACAAAACCTGCCAGCCAATCTCAAGGCTTGTATTACACAGGGTTGACCGATCGGCTACGCCGTCCTTTTGGCTACTTTGCGCTGGGCTGATATTTCAGCCATGTTATCTCCAAAGGGATAACAGTTGTCGAGGGTTGACTTTCAGGCAATCATGTCTCAACACAGCAACTGACTACCCTGCATTCTGCTTACAGCATAAATTATCCTAGAGAATAAATATCCTCAAATAAACACAGCAACTACATTGCAGTTGCTTGCAGTAAAGAACACTATACATGACCAGGTTCAATCTGCAAAGGTCAGTCACTTTCATAACTGTAATCACTTACTGAACTCACTTATACATAGAGATTCACCAGTAAGCTCTCATGCAGGGCGTCACACACAGAATGACTTCCAGTCCTTCTTTGCATATATTTCTCTCCAGTTCACATGCTTCATTAATTCACAATTATCACTCACTTTCACACATAATTCTCTGTTGTCACAGTTTCATTCAGACCCACTATTACCGCGCTGACATCATCTCCTCTACATAGTCTATACTACTTTCTGCCGGTTTTCCTATCTGTAGCCAATGGTCATCTCAAGTTCTGCCTCCGACTCATTATTTATGTAAATTGGGGTTTCCTCTAACTTATAATAGTAATCTATAAACCTTACCTCATTATAATAAACATCAAAAGAACATCCCCCATTTTGGTTTCAGAACCCTACTGTGGAAGGCTAGTGGGGATAGAAAGAACTCACTCACTGCCCATTATCAAACATGGGAAAAATGTGAGGATTTTGTTTTGCAGATTCTTCTGTAAAATCACATCTCTGAGGCCTCAAGCAATTGTTTGGCTTGTTTACTAATTGCCCAGACTTTTCCGCTATGTCTTTAAAGTGGCTCTATATAGCATGCAAGAATTCTGTTTATAAGCTCCAACGACATGGATTTGTTACATAAGATGTTCTTCATTTTACAAAATGCAGTTTTTTGCTTGTCCTGATAGTTCTTTATGTTATACATCTTCGTTCTATGTAATCAATGTGCCTAGATATATACAATTTTATGCTTGTCCTAAAATAATACCATAGATACCTACCTATAACAAATGAGATAGATGCTCCCAAGTATCCAGCCACGGTGGAGATTGCAGTTGCAGTTGCTCTCTGATTGGGAGGGAACCACAGACCTGACAGAAGGGCAGGGCCACTCATTGGCACCGTCCCAGCCACACCATTTAGGAACTGGCCAATCCTGATAAACCTATGGAAATAAACCAGCACTGTCAAAAATTGTCATCCAAAACTATTGGCAAAGCACTTAGCACATGTGAATAAGTGATCCCTCTCTTTCAGCATATAGTGAAGAATATGGATACTCAAAGCTGCAGTGGCCAGTTCATTTGTTATTCAACTGTTTTGTTCCCCCCCCCCCCACCCCCCTACAGACCTTTCTGCTAGTGTTTGCTTGTGTAGGGTTCTAATCTCTTTGGAATGTGAGGGCAGGGACAGGCAAGCTGGTGCTGCAGAATCAGAAGTTCAACAAATGATTCATGACAATTCCCATTCAGGCAATGTGATTGTTGATACAGATGGCTCTGTGTTGAGGGGCAGATGAAGTGCATGGGTCTCATAGCGAAGGCGAATGGACGTTGCTTGATGCAACAAAGCCGAGCATATATCACAACGTCTAGTTTGAGAATAGAGGTGGAGGCAGTCACTGCTGCCTTCTGCTGACTTGAGAATCAGTGTACACACATGCCGTCATTGTAACTGACTCATAGAGCCTGTTGAAAAAGGTGGAGACAAGCAAATATCCTTTGGATATTTTCTCCTGGGTATGCCAGTGTGTTGGGAAATGAGCAGGCAGATAGAAAGGCTGATTCTGAACTGGTCATGAACTGATATATGACAAGCTGTTGTGAGGGCCCTTTGGGAGTGAGTGAACAGTGCTGAGGCACAGATAGATCATTACGGTCTGAGAAGAATGAAACTGCGAGGAGTTACAAGGGGATTTGGCAGATGTTCGACACTCAGGGGAAAGGCGAGACGGATATACAATCAGACAGTTACTGGTACCATCAGAATTTTAACTCTTTGCTTGCTGCTGAAAATGGGGATGGAGCGCTTATGGGGGTCTCCCGAGTGCTGTGATGTTAATTCTTAATTCAACATTCAACTGATAGTGTTGCACTGGACTTGTGATTCTATTTATTCCTATCCAAGCTGTATGCCTTTGTCACTGATTTGTTTTTCCTAATGCAACAGCAATAAACAGCAATGGAGACTGTTCAATAGAAGTCAAAAGGAGGATGACCATAGCAATACAAAGATAAAAAGCATCAAAAGACTATGGTTAAGCACCAGCAAGGAAATCAAGACAAGATTTTGAAAGCATGCATCTTCCCTGTAGCAACACAAGGGTGTGAGTTATGGACTATCTCACAGTCCTTAAGTAAGAAAATTGGGGCTTGTGAGATGAAATGCTAAGGAAGATTCTCAGAATATTATTGACAAAATAGAAAAGAAATACTGACATTCTAAAATATCTAAACATCAAGGAAGACTGGCCATTAAACAGCATTTTGTCCTGGAAGCTTAACTATTTTGACCATATCAAGCTAACAGCAGTCTTGAAAAATAACAGCAGAGTGCATGGTAGCAGGAAGGAGGGCAAGAGGCCAACCAGCATGGAGATGAGCCCAGGATATAAGTAACTCCTTGGATATAAAAGTAAACAAGGTGGGAGAGTTGACAAGGGACCGAGTTTCTTTCAGGCAGACTATGATGAGAGCCATGTTCTTCAAAGGCCCTGCTACAAAAAAAGTCCAACAGAAGATCATTAACAGACAGTATCTATCTACAACAGTGGCTCTCAAACTTCCAGATGTTGTGACCCTTCAGAACAGTTCCCTTATTTTGTGGCGACCCCCAAAACAATTATTTTCCTTCATAGCTTTAATGAATATGTGTCTTCCGATTGTCTTAGGTGACCCATGTGAAAGGGTTGTTCAATCCAAAAAAGGGTCACAACCTGCAGGTTCAGAAGCACTGATCTACAAAGTAATGAGCATGTACTCCAACACTGTAGGTGCAGTTCTGGGAAGTAAAGGCGGCTGACATGATGATGACCCCATCAACTACCAAGTGGCGATTGGTCTATAAACAAATGTAGGTTCAGCCTCATATTTCCAATATGCCTAAAGGCGTGCAAAAGGGACCTCTACTTACTTACTTTTACTCCAACACTGTGGACTATGAAATGCCTTAGAAGAGCTGCAGGAGTTTCAAGGAAAGATAGAATACGAAATCATGAAATCAGACGATTGCTAGGAATAAAGCCAGTCTTACAGGTCATCAAAGAACAACAAATGAAGTGGTTTGGACACCTAACAAGAATGCCCTAGTACTATCTGCCACAGCGAACCACACTAAAACGTTACAACGGGTATAGAGCGAGTGGAATATCTCGGAAAAGATGGAATGATGGCATAAAGAACAGCCTTACAGAAATGAATATCAGTCTTAATAGTGCTCTTGACAGAGCTCATTAACGAACATTACATCTCCCCCCGACACTTCGATGAGGTACAAGGTGGAAGAGAAGAAGAAGAACTGTGAACTATATACTGCTAACAAAGAGGATTTTGGGCCCCTTCTAACCGCAGTCAAAACAAAACTGTGTTGCACAAGTGGAGCAGCGAGTGACTTTAGTGACAATCTGTTCATGACTAGGTCAGGCACAGTGAGTAGTGACCCCAGAGTCAAATGCAGTTGTTGAAACTTTCAGCTTCACTCATATACTTGATAGACTGACAAGCGTGAACCACTACACTGGACCTTAATTCACTGAAGGGTTTCAACGACTCACTGATTAAAACAACAACAGATAACAGAAATCTGCTCCTTTTGAGTGCATTTGGGGTGACCATCTTTAAACTGTGACTATTACATCATCATGTTATTCTGTGTTGTGATTTCACATGTTTAACACTTTTGACATCCTTTACAACAATACTGACAGACTACAAATCAAAGGTATCCTAACTGTAATTTCTATCACACTTTAAAGGTTTCTATTAGAAGCTCCTTCATACTTCCTTTTCTCCTTCCTCTGCTTCAATGATTCTGTTAGACAAACCTAACTTATACAACAAGGCCATAAGCCTTGACTGAGAAGGAAACCAGCCAGACTGCTTTCTTGTTATAAGTATCCAGTTTACAGAGTCAGAGTTAAAGTTAGTTGCGTATCCTTTACAGGATGTTGCAGAACCAACCCAGCATTTTTTGGCTGTTGTGGTTTTTATAGGCACATTTATATCAAGTAGTTTGCCACAGCTTTCTGAATGGTTGACTTGATACCACTTTCAAAACCAACACAAGGCGGTCTGCTGACAAATCACTTGCTGCTGGGATTGAACCTGGCACCCTAGCAATACGAAGTGTTGGAGTATATGCTCAAAATTTTTAGTAAAATACTGATTGTTAAACAAGAATGGTATAAGAAAAAACATAAAACACCTGGAAATGTTTCAATATAAAATAAAAAAGTACTAAACATAAAGTGCAAAACACAAATCAATCACACAGATGTCTAAAATATGCTAAGATAAATAACAAAATTAACAGAACAATACTAACCATGTAGCTGTGTTAACATCTCCTGGAATACAGCGAAACCCAGCACCAACAAACATGAAGCTGCAGCAGAATATCATGGCCATTCTCATGCCTACATTTTTCATGACAGAAAACAGGAATGAAGTCATCACTAATTTACTTTGGCAACAACAAAAATGGAAAAGTAACTATTAAAGATATATTTTTGAAAACAGACTGCATATGCCTGAAAGGCAAGGAACCAACAGTCTAGATACAGTCTAGATACTGTTGTGTAAAATTGAAGTGCACATAACACATAAGTTCTGAAACAAGACTAAAGTCCAGAAGTAGATGAACAATCAGAACCGTCTACTGGAGTTTACAGCCAGTGAGTCAGCTGGTTAGTTAGTTAGTTAGTTAGTTAGTTAGCTAGCTAGCTAGTTAGCTAGTTAGTTAGTTAGTTAGTTAGCTAGCTAGCTAGTTAGTTAGCTAGCTAGCTAGTTAGTTAGCTAGCTAGTTAGTTAGTTAGTTAGTTAGTTAGTTAGTTAGTTAGTTAGTTAGTTAGTTAGTTAGTTAGTTAGTTAGTTAGTTAGTTAGTTAGTTAGTTAGTTAGCTGACAGATTATTTTCAATGTAAACCAAACCATTCAGTCCATAAGTGCTCAACTCCCCTCTTCAGTAAATCTTGCAGTGTGCAGTGGATGATGACACCAGTCCTGTGTTGGTTTCTTATTCATTTTTGGCTACCTGCATAGTCCTCTTGTCTAGCCAAACATTTTTTAACATGTTGTTCTTGCAAGCTGGTCATGGTTACAGATTCACAATCATCGCCTGGTTCTGGCAAATGTCTCACTTCTCACAGAGCATTCAGTATATCAGCATGGTTCATGATACGTCTGCCCGCCATGGTAGCTTTACCTTACCTGCAAGTCTATCAGCTTGCTCATTTCCTGTGTACCCTGGCATGAAAGGAAACTGAAATGAGTCAGCTCTGACCCCCTCACAGACTCCAACCATTATCTTCAGACACCAGCCTATTTCTATTTTCCTGAGCATTCTCTTTGAGTCACAAAGAAAGCAAGTTCGGGAAAAGGTCGGTGTCCCCAGCCCTGTTATTGCTTTGGTCACTGCAATGACCTCTATAGTCAGACTACTTGTGGTCAGGGCAAAAGCACCAGATCTTGCTTCACAATTTTAACTCCAAGCCCACATAGTAAACCACAGACCCATCAGAGTAAATGACAGTTCCCCCTATAGAGAATTCTTGAAAATCAAGGCCTGCACTCCTTAAAAAGAACTATAATATGGCTTACTCTTCAGCCCTAACTAGCTGTCACCTGCAGATTCAAGGGTCTTATTTAAGAGAGAAAAGAGATCTAAGGCCCCCAGCAAGCATGTAGGAGACAGTGATTAATTGGGTTTAGTTAAAATTGGATGTGTTTGGCTGAAAGGTACAAATATTGCAGCCAAGCTGGATAGCACAACATCCCGTGCCAACTGCCTTTTGAAGGATAAATGCAGGTGAAGAAAAGATGAAGAATTAAAACATTTGTAAATAGATAAAATACTCAAGGGATATAGGATGCTCAAGGGTAAGTGTAACCACAATGAGAAAAGCATGCTCCGTTCAGAGTGGAATACACTGTAATGCATGTTGAAAATATCTAACAAGATTTCTCCAGTATGCTTTAACCAAACATAAAATAGATAACAACACAGTATGTACTGTTTGATACAAGGGGATAACAGATGATCCCACACTGTGCATTGTTCATGAGAGAGAGAGAGAGAGAGAGAGAGAGAGAGAGAGAGAGAGAGAGAGAGAGAGAGAGAGAGAGAGAGAGAGAGAGAGAGAGAGAGAGAGAGAGAGAGAGAGAGAGAGTTAAAGGCACACATTCAATACAGAAATTGAGGAAGTAGGATCAATTAAACATAATCCAGATATATTTAGTAATTTCATTCCTTTTTTGTTACATTAAATTACCCTCACAATAAATTCATTCATTCATTCATTAATTATCCTGTTGCGCCATTGTATGTCATATAGGGCTGGCAGTCTATTCCTCAGTTCTGTTTGTGGCAGCCAAACAACACATCCAATTTCAACAAATACTTAATTAGTCAACTTTTAAACATGTTTATTACTGGAGTAGGAGGGTCTGTTCCCTCGCTCCACTCTTCTCCCCCTCCCTCACCACCCCCCTATTGGACCCTGGAACACACACTGAAAAGGGCATAAATGAATGAATGAAGGAACAAATCCATCAGTCCATCCATACACATCTTTGGCTGACTGGGCAATTGGACCCCATGTGGACCAGATGGCATTCCACAACATGGCAGTTAATGAAAACAGAGCAAGCATGTACCATCTTCTATAAAACAACTCTGTCCTGACCTCAGGCCTTGCCTCAGGTTTATCTTCATAAATATCAAGGCTCTTCTTTGTAGAAGTTAGTTCTTCTCCTTCACTTTCACTACCACTACTTTCACCTGATTCATCACTTGACAGTTTCTGAAATATGTCTTCTGCTTCAGGAATGTATTCATATGAATGCTTATCCATTCTCATGGCATCTTTCGCCCGAATCACCTTGTGGGAAAGGTCATGGGGTGAGACCATTTGTGAGGTTCGAAAGTAACCTTTCATGCTATGACCTCGAGGTGTTCCGGATGAATCCAGAACAACACTTTCCAGCTTGGTGCCATCAGGAAGGTTCAGACCAGAATCTGAATTTAAACCAGACCTTTCTTTCTGTACGGGACCATCTCTATTAAATAGTTGCTGATCACTGGGCAATAAGCTGGAATCTTGACGTCTCCACCCACCAGTTTCCAGTTCACTGTGATATCCACGATGATCCACAGCCTGAATCGTATTGTCCACACTTCCATATCCCCCAAGTCTTTTCCCCGTAGCCTGGTCAAAGAAACCAATTTGACCTGCTCCTGAGCTGGCATAATCTTGGTTTGAATGAGCAAGACTACTGGGTCCTACAGAATTTGGCCGAAGTGAACGGGATGAAATATTGCTTCCTTTTTTGGGAAATTTGATAATGGCATTTGTTGTAGGAGATTTGGCTTTCTGTCTGTCAGGATTGCGAGAATTCACTAAATCCTGCTTGTGTGTCCGTTCTATTGATGTCTGTCCACTGTTCCAAAATTCAGAAACAGTGAAACGTTTGGTGAAAATTGGAGCACTCCTGCGTCCAAATCGTTGTGCCGATGAGGCATTTACAATGTATTCGTCATCAGAAAGCACACTAGGTTTAACTTTTGGAGTAACAAAATTTGGACTGCCAGGGTGGGACTCATATCTAAGTCTTGGTTTTGTTGTTCTGTTGATTAACTGACCATTATTATTTTCAGATACAGGGGAGCTTGAGAAGTGTCCTTCCTCTAAACTCTTTTCATTTCTGCCTACATCTGGCACTTTCTTTTGTTTTACTCTCTTACTTTTGCTGCTTTTGTTTGCTTTTTCAAGCTTAGCTCCTGAGTCTTTATAGCTTCCTTCATTTTCTGTGACTTCTTCAATAGCATTGTTTGGCATTAGCCTGTTTCCAAATCGAGCTAAACTGGCCCCTGTATAATCTGAAGCATGACTATTTTCTACACCCTCATCAGCAGTGTTTTCAAAGTCAAGGAGACCTGACAGAGGTCCTGTTCTGCCTGTTTGAGGATTATCACTGTTGACATTCCAGTCAGTATTCTTTAAATCATGACTTTTAGGCTGTCCTAATTTGACAAGATCATTAACAAAGCCCAGCTCATTGTTATCCAAATTTACAGACCTTGAAGAATTTGCAATGACCTTATTCTTATCACCACTGGCCACACCCTGTGAATCAAGGAATGCCATATTGTTCACTGGACTTTTGAACAGAAGAACATTTTCTTGGTTGTCATAAAAACTTGCAGTTTGAAGCTTCTGATCTTTATGAAAGCCATTACTTAGAATACTAGATGGTAATGAATTCTTCTGAGAATGTATCTGCACTGCATCTTTATCACTGGCAGAACCATTAACTTTTTCTTGTCTGTTTTGCATTGTAAAGTCTTACTTGACTTTTGTTTAAAGAAGCTGGTTTACAAAATTTAAACTCTTTTTAAAATATTAAAAGTATATAAATTGTAAATTTTATACAAATGTAATTTCTAAGATTTAGAATGGCATACTCAGTTAAAAATTTATATGTAAAAACTCCTAGTTATAAATGTTTATTAATCGATTTTTAAATCCACATTTGCAAATGTCTTTTAATTGAAAGATTTAAAAATCTGCATATACTCCAAGATTTATAAATTTACAAATCTTTTTAGTCTAAGATTAATTTATTTACATAAGCTCTACGATTTATAAGTGTCTATAAATGCACCGAGCTAAAAATTTGTGTATTAATTAAAAAGTTTATAAACCCTCTCTTGAGTCAAAATAGAACAACCACAACTATCAATTGGTGTGAGAAAAGTCACAATGCTGTAATCCCTCTCCAAGCAGATTCCAACATAAACTAAACACTGTAAATTTCTTGCACACAGACAATGGCCAGTATTCATACTAAAAATCCCAACTTTAAGGGGAATTACAGTGCTCAAGTTATTTCCAGGAACTGTCTCTATTTTGCATTGATTTTGCAAGTAGGTCAAAGCACAAGCAGACGTTGAGGATGATGATGATAAGGAGGTTTTGACCATATCTAGAAACAACAAATGCTGTTGAAGCTGCAGTAGATTCTTGTATTATTGGTGTAAGGAAGTCTTGTCAAATGCTGATTACTTGATTCTAGAAAGAAATTTTCCTTGTTTTGGTCAAGCACAACTTGAAAAGTCTTTTCTGAAAATTAAAGAGAAATCAATAAATAAATTTACGGTTAATTTTTGAACATTTGAATGTATGAATAAATAAATGATAAAGAAAATCCAGTGCTCACCTGTGACATCCATCAAATAAGCACACGGAAACATGGTTATCAAGAAAGGGATGTTGAACCGCGTTCAGCCTTTAGACCATATTTATGGCCGGGCAATATTGCGGCCCATGGCAAGAGCCAGACTTGGGCTTCAAATAACGAAAAACTGCATCCCACAACAGGATGACAAGATACGTAAATTATAAAATAAAATATCAGGAAAAGTTCTGGGAAGTAATGTTGACCACAACATAACACCGAGTGGCGATTGGTCTATAAAATCTAGGTCTAGCACTATATATCTAATACGTTCGAAAGCGTGGGAAAGGGTAATTTACTTAACTTTCTAATAAAAAAGGGATTCAACAGCCATGTAACAAAATTTACTGATGAGTGAAATTGTAAAAACGCTGTGCCTTTTACTTTCACTCTGCGGATCTTTATTTGCGAGCGACAGAGGCCTCCTTTTTATTTTAGTATCCAGAGTACATGAGTTGTTAACCCTTAGGTTCGGTATTATGAATATCGCAACCCTTCGGCCTTGATTCTATGATAAATACCGTAAATCTGGGAGAAATGTGGCTTTTCTGCCTACTCCCGGGCGTGAACCCGGACCACAAGGAGTTCGTCACCCGGTCTCAGCGCAGTCCGGTTTAGCCAACTGCGCTAGAGAGCGGGACAGCCCTCGTGCTTAAAAAAAAAAAAAATCAAGGATGGGTACCTCAGTCATAAATGGAATGGAACACTAAGCACTTTCCAAATGGCTGGCCTAACCATCTTTGTTCTAGGGGATAGAGGTGTTCGAGGCAACGAGCGCGTAGATTATCTAGACATTGTCTCTGCAATGGCTGGTCCGGTACTAGACAGAAGCGATGTTATCAATGCCATGCACAGCGCTTACTGCGAAAGGAATACATACAGCAAGGAGTATTACTCCGTATTCCAGTCCAGGCTGAAGGAACTGCAAGGAATGCATATTTCACCAAGGGGTACGGCGTTTGATTAATCAACACAGACCAGGCGTTATCAGTCGGTTTACACTTGTGGAGCTTTTGAAGAGGAGACTGAAGCACCTATGAATCTTTCCAGAGCGCTGTAATGATCTTCTCGCTGTACACTAATCACAGAACCATATGGGATAAAACGCAGTGCAATGAAGTCGATTTTCTCGACTGTAAACATTCACTAACTGATTCCTTCGCAGAACAGAGGAAATTAAATGGTAAGATATAATCAATAATGCAAAGCTTTCGAAAAAGTCTACAATTCAAGCGACTCAATTGGTGACAGACAGACACTGGCACTCCATAATACGCACATTGTGAAAAACTAAATAACCGTCTAATTAGAATGCTTTTACGTGGGAACCCACACTGCTAAAGAAATAAAGGGAGAGTAAAAACCATCCAGAGGAGAGAATTATAATCAAAGGTGAATAAGACGAGGAGTATGTGGAATGTCGCATTATGTGGTAGTGGATAGAAAATGTGACAAGTTAGCTGAAAGCTTATATTCTGTCCATGGATTAAGAAATGAAGAAAAGGCGAAGGAGGAAGAAGGAAGTGGGAGGAGGCGAAGAGGGGTAGAAGAAGGAGACAAAGAAGAAAAATGAGCAGGATGAGGAGAGAGAGAGAGAAAGAGAAAGAAGAAGACTACCCAGCAACGTTTACCTCATGTTACATAAACAATTGATGTAACTAAGAGTACAAGAGCAATATTGATATTTCATGTAAACAGCTCCACAAGTTGTTGACTGTCCTCTTTAGCTTTCTGTCACGCGTTACGCTGGTCATTTACCATACATTAAAAAAAAACATGTGCATATGAGTCATTAAATATTTCGCAATCAATAAAAAAAAAAAAAATAAAACAGAGAAACCACTGTATTTAGTTTGTAGTTAAGATAATGTTTCAGATCGGGTCAGAAAGTGCACAAGATCTGAAATCGGGGTCCCATTGTTACAGAAAAAAATGGGTGAATAGACCCACTCTGTACCTAACAAGTATGTCGTAAGAGTCGACTAATCAGGGTTTTCTATCGAAGTCGGAGTGCATCCGCATGAGAGGCAGGGAGCCAACAGTTGGCAAACAAATAAGCGATATCTGTAAAGCGGACGTGCATGCAAAACTCAAGGTCTTGATTCAGACTAAAGTCCTGAAGTTATCGAACAACCCGAACTATCCGCTGGAGTTTAGAGCGGGTTAACGCGAAGAAGAAGAAGAAGAAGAAGAAGAAGAAGAAGAAGAAGAAGAAGAAGAAGAAGAAGAAGAAGAAGAAGAAGAAGAAGAAACAGAAGAAGAAGAAAAAGAAGAAGAAGAAGAAAAAGAAGAAGAACTAAGAAAATAAAACTGGTTCATAAACAGCATCCTTTATTCGAAACTGAATTATTTCATCTGGCGCAACGGTCACGTGACGCTAAGTGAGCGGTTCCCAACTATTTTGACTTGCAGGGCCCTTTTTTAAAATACATTTCTTTGGCACAGCTCTTAAAGCCTATCGTATCCTATGTCTTGGAAGTTAATGCTACTTAAAAGTTGTAAATCTAATAGCCTCTCAAAAACAGTACAGGGCACAGTAGAGAGGACAAAGAGAAAAGGCAGGCCAAGAAAGACATGGATACAGAACTTGATCGACTGAACATACCTTACGCATGCATCCATGAAGTCCATCGTGTCTGACCGCCAAATGTGGAGGGAGCTGATCAGACAGTCAACAGCAACTAGTGACCTAATGATACGC